AAAAAAATCTCATTGCTTCCAATAAAAGAGATTAGGGTGATAAAATTAAGGTTTGAGAGCCAAAACAAGACCTAACCTGGAAGGTGAAATTACAGATTTGGGATCATACTCGGCTGAAATAGTTACCAGAGATTTGGGCCTCCATTCATGCTGACAGAGAACTGAAACCTTGCCATTATTGCTGAGTTTGGCTTTGAGAAGGGTGAGAGGATCCACAGCATGACAAGTTCCAATTGTGAAGCTGTTCTCTGAGGTTTTCAGTCTGTGGAACATTTCAGCAGCAACTGCTGATCTGTTGAGAGGATCAAGGAAATGAATATAGGATGCCCTCACAGTTTCTCCCTTGTCAGCCCTGGAGAGAAAGAGGGATAGATGATGGATGATTAACAAATAGGAGATGATATTATAAGAGTTTTGGAGGATTTACATAAATACCGCATAATTTACATATATTTAAATATCTTTTAAGTTCATAATCGCTCAAAGCATTCATATCACATCACAAATGCTATCAGTTTTTAAAATATGCATTTTTCATAAATAGGTAAAGTGGCAAAGTTTTGAGTGGTATGTGTTGTTATGAGGTTTTGAAATAGATTTATTGAAATGCGGAGCAAGGTACAAAGACTCCTGTGATGAGTTTATTAAATTAACGGCAATTACTTGCATAGGATTTAAAACACTACTGTTCACAATTTACTTCACTGAAATGTTAAAATTGATGATAAAATCTCGATTCATATTTTTCAAATTTATTGAGGGGGTCGGTTTGAAGCAGGTGCAGCTTATCAATAATCTGTTGATAAATAGCTGATCCGGATAAGCTGGCTAACTCTTTGGTTCGTGTATTTGAAAAACAGCTGATTTGCAGCTATTTTTGGATAAATGATAATATTGTCCATGTGCAATAGTATTGTTTGCAATAGAACTGTCACATCTAAAAACTGATCTCTTATGGGGCAAGAATATTTCAAAAGACTTTAAAATGCATGCTGGACATATTCATATAGCAACAAATTTCTTACACCCTCCCAACACTAGCTCAACACTCATAAAAATCTTTTTTCTAATTTTTCAAAAACTTCTTTCCTGAATGTAAGAAGAAAGCTACTTACATCAATATCTCCCTAAACCATGCATTATAAGGTCCTATTGCTCATCCATTTTTCCATTTACCAATTGATTATAGTACCAAATATGTAAGGAATTGAGTGAAATTTATGTAAATATTGCTTCGTAATATGCTCCTCAAGCTAAAATATGCAGAAAATTTAAAATCATAAGCAAAGAGTTCCCCGATTTAAAAAACAATTCTCCCTACGAGTTCGCAATTTTCCCCGCGTAACGGGTACCGTGCTCCCTTTGAATGAAGGTTTTCGAAAAAAAAAAGCTTCCCAATTGCCCTAATATTCTACCTGTAGGAAAACATGAAACTCTAATTTTAAAAGAATTCTCTAAACGAGTTTCACAATTGTCCCTGCATAATGGGTACTAGGTTTTCGAAAAGCTTCCCAAATGCCCACCTTTATACCTTTCAGAGCCCCGACGGCATCAACGACAGTGACAACGGTAAAAACACAAAAAAAAAAATTTTTGTTATTACAATACACAGCAATAAATAAAATCAAATGAACAGTAAGCATGAATAAAAAAAAATGCTCGGGTAGGGCAAAGTTAATCAGGATGGCCTGCAATTTTAGATTTGGCTCGAATTGGCGTGAGGTGCCTATAGCTTCTCTGTTTTCATAAACAAGCAAAGTTTTGCTTAGGGCAGAAGGAGATGGATAAAAGAATTTTGTGTGTTGTTAGGGTCTGAGTGAGCAGAGGAGGGCGACGACTTCAGGCGAGAGTCGAGCGGCTCAGTTTTGCGAGGAGCAACAGAGGCTTTGACGAGCTAGGGCAAAGCAGATGTGGGCATCAATCATGTGTGGTTGGGGTGCTCGACAGTGGGCATCAATCGCAGCAGATCGTCTGGCTTTTGGAGCGGAAAGAAGAAAGAATCGAGCAAAGGAGAAGTTCAAATGGAGCGACCTTACGTGCGGTTTAGGGCAGGAAGTGGATTGCTTGAAGGTTAGAGACGACACTGTGCACGGGAAAGAGGAGTGTGACCCTCTGAGATTGGGAAAAAGCAGGCTTGAGAATTTCAAAATTCGTCTGCCGTGCGTGAGGCAAACGGCACAGGAGAAAACCGGCTTCTATTGCATGTGATTCCTAAAAGAAGATTGTTTTTTTTCTGTGGGGGAGGAAGGTTGGTCGCTATACATGAAGGAGCGCAGAAGCGAGTGTGGGGTGCAGGCTTCAGGTTAGGGCATAAACGATCAGGTACGGTGGAGGTAATTAATCGTGGCTTGCATGGATGCAGCAATTAGTGCGGGAGAGGCTGAGTGGTGAAGTGCGACACAAAGCAGTGAACAAGGACGGATGAAGAACTTCAACGTAGAGGAATATGCGTGGATTTTAATCCGCAGAGGACGAAGTAGAGAACAATAGGGACGAACAAAGCAGGAACGACGAACAAGAGGGAAGACATGGAACGAGACAATGTGATGAGGGTTGCGAGCTCTCGTTCATCTGCTTGAAACTGAAGAGGAGAGCGGGGGAACAGTTATCTCCTTTTGGCAGGCTCCCACAGGCCTGAATAAATCAATTTTTAAGTTAATTAATTTAATTTTAATTAATATAAATTTCTTCTTTTTTTTCATTTTTTAAGGTCAATAGAAAGACACTATTGCACATGCTTTGTGTCATAAATTTTTATTGAAATATAAAGCTCTTCTCCTATTTACTTTTTTGATTTGAAATTCACATGGCTTCCCCTAATGTTGTAGTCTGTTGTAATGGCTTAAATAAATCATTGTTCATATTTCTTGTGTAAACTAATGTAGACTCTTTGGTATATTATTGTTCCTGTTAACTTACCAGGGTATGAGAAGGATTAAACCAATAAAATAGTAGAACCAGTCAAAACAATATGTTCACCAAACAGTATTAACTTTTTCAAATTTGCAATAAAATTAGAAAATCATAAAACAGAGGTTTGCACAAAAACACATTGATAATAGTCAAATTCAACAGCAATATTTTTTAATAAAGAGCAAGTAAAACAATACAATAAATCATATGCATGGTTGCAAGCTCCCTAAGGAAAAATTTCAAAGGCAGTCCCAACAACCCTTTCTGCTTAGGAAAGTCAAAGGTGAGAAAACCTTGGTCAAGCTCTCCTCTGGAACAATATCCAAGTTATCATCAATTCATCATAAATAATGGTACAAGAACATGGATTAACTATTACTGTGTCTTCAGTGTGATGAACATAATAAAGGGAAATTTACATACATACTGAAAAATTACTTACATGCCGGAAAATTTACATACATATCACAAAATTCTAATGTATTTGCATATCGAACACCCAATCTTTTATATTTACACTTATTGGCGACATAAACTTTTGAATGAAAAATTGAATTTCACTTTTAAAAAAATAGTAATGGTGGTAATTTTTTGTGTTGTTAAATATTTGAGTGGTATTCACATAAATATGAATTTTTAGGTGTTAGATTGATATGTAAATACATAAGAATTGTGTGGTAAGTATGCAAACTCCTCTGAAAAAAAATTAAAAACAAGCATTGATTCAAAACAAATAATATGATAAATGAACTTCAAAATGAAACGATACCCAGGACTTCAAATATAAGATTCTCTTAAAAAAAAATAACATACAACATGAACAAGAATATAAATAACCAGTAAGCAAATAACAGAGACACGATCACTTACAACATGAGTGCAGCAGAAAAGTCGCGCTGGTTAAAACTAATCCCTGCATTGTATTTTGTAAATGTTGCAGAAGTGCTATCAAATCCAACCTCAGTGCCAACAACAAATTCCTTGGAACCAATCGCCGCAGCAAGCTCCAAAACTGGGTTGGTATTCATGCCAATGCTTGAATCAATGGCAACATGATCACCTAAGTACTGGACATCAAGCTGCCACACAATAACAAAGTTTATGACAAAAAACAAATGATCTAATAGCGGAAAAAGAATATTGATTCCAAAATTAAAGCTCAAGTTAACTAAAACATTTTAGGGGCATTTACAGACATACCAATTCATACATATTTACATATCCAACATCTAAACTTTGATTTCTTACACTTATACCCCCCAAATCTTTATATCACATCAAAAATATCACCCCTTTAACTTTTAGAAAGTGAAATACACAATTTCATGCATAGGTAAGGTGCTATGTATGTAAAAGTTGACGTTTAGATGTTAAAAATGTAAATATATGAGAATTAAGTAGTATGTGTGTAAATCTTCCAACATTTTAAAGAATTAATAACCATTTTAATATTGGAAACATGCAAAAAGAGTTAGTCTCAAATATTCACATGAACTAAGCAATATACCAAATTGCTCAAACAGCAGGTACAAATATTTGAGAAATAACAAACAAAATATAACTTTCTACCACAAATAATATGATCTAAATCTCATCAAACAAAAAGGTAAAATATATTTTGTAGAAGGCTATTTCATTTTTTAAATGGGAATAAAAGGTGGCAACAACTATAATTACGAATAGCGTGCAAGTGGTAAGGTCAAAAAATTACAGGAATTTTAAAAACATATCAAACATTAGAAATAAATACATTATGAAAATGAAGAATAAATACGGATGAAATGCATCAGTAACGCTGTATATCCATAAATTGCCCGTGTATGAAAAGTATCTACAATCACAGCAAAACAAATTCGGAAGTTCATAATCACTATTAGAGAATTAACAAACAAAAGATTACATTGTACTACAAATAATATGATCTAAATCTCATCAAATAAAAAAAAAGTAAAGTATATTTCGTAGAAGGCTATTTCATTTGTTAAATGGGATTAAGAGGTGGCAACAGCCATAATTGCGGATAGCGTGGGTTAGATAAGGTCAAAATATTACAGGATTTTTAAAAACATATCAAACATTAGAAATAGATAAAATATGAAAAAAAATAATAATTACAAATGAAACACATCAGCAATGCAGAAAAGCCGTAAACTGTTCGTGTATGAAAAGTATCTAAAATCATAGAAAAATAAATTCTGAAGTTCATAAATCAATGTCTCAACATTAAAACATGATTAATTTCAAATACATCAGGCAAGCTTGAAAGCAAAAATCATGAGAAATGAATCAGAGTGAAATGAAATTATTTCACCAATGTAACATATATACTTGCCTTCCCAGACTTCTGATCAGGAATTTTGAAACTGAATGCCGTCTTCGCCCCAGATATAATCTCATTCACTGTAACTGTAGTTGATACCTAACAACAGTTATTTTTGATATAAGTTGACAAGAGAACCATGACTAAATGGTAAAATGCACATGGAAGTAAGGCTGTCAAAAAAACTCGTTGTTCGTGACGTTCTCTCGTTGTTCGTGACGTTCTTTAAGTAAACGAGCCGAACACGAACAAGTTTTTAAAGCTCGAATTATAAACGAACCGAACACGAACAACTCTTCGTTCGCTCGTATTCAGCTTGTTTTGGCTCGAAATAAAAAAAAAATTATTAAATTGTTTATATAATAATATATTATATATATTTATGTCAAAGTTTAAGTCATAATAGCTTATGTGGTAATGTGGTTAGTGCTTTTATATATATATATATATATATAATTTTAACGAGCCAATTTCGAGTCGAGCACGAGCCGAAAACGAATATGAATATTTAAATCGAACTGAACACGATCACACTGTTCACGAGCCAATTTCAAACACGAGCTATTTCGAACGAGCCGAACACGAGCCAAGCCCGAGCTCGCTCAAGCTCGGCTCGTTTACAACCCTGCGTGGAAGTAAACCTTAACATACTATAAGAATGACGCATTTACATGCATACCAACCAATTCCTATGTATTTACATATCTAACACCTAAACTCTACTTTTTAAATTTATACCATCCAAATCTTTCATATGACATTACAAATACCACTATTTCAAGTTTGAAAAAGTTAAAAACACTTTTCAATTCATAGGTAAGGTGGCATTAACGTAAAAATTCAAGCTTAGGTGTAAGATATGAAAATACATAGGAATCAAGTGGTATGTATGTAAATCTTCCAAAAAGAATTCATAATACGTCAAGAACGAAAGGATTGAAAACATAAACAACAAAGAAAATGTTAAGATTGCAGTAACTAATCCACTTACGTTGGAATTGGTATCCACCTTCACATCGACAGTCGTTTTACCATTTTTGTAATTTGTACTGATATCACCAACAAATACTTCATCCACCTTTACACCAGTTGCAGTTATGCCCTGAGATATGTGGGAAGATATTTTAGCAGCTACCAGTTTGAAAACATCACATTGCTGTAATTTACAAGGATGCAAAATATCGGAGAAAAAGAAGTAGAGGCCAACTAGGATATATTGTTCCAACCAATGCATTTCAATAAAATCAGTGGGACAAATGGCACCTTCAGTTTAATACTCAACAAAGAACAAGCATAAATTAATTTTACTTTTCACATTTACACCACCAAAATATTTCATATCACAGCAAAAAAACCACTATTTAACTTCTAAAAATCATAAGAATTGAGCGGTATGCAAGTAAATCTTCCTAAAAAAATTTCATTTCTTTAAATATCATTGCTTTGTTTGTAATTGTATCATCGTATATGCATGAAAAAAAAATGTTCAGACTCATTCACATTGAAAATAGGTACGAAAAAAAAAAATCACTAGTAAAGATGGATAAATCTCCAAATCCTCAGATGGATGACTAGCCTACATAATAAGAGTCGCACATCTACCCATTTCATGATTTATAACAGAATGCGAGTAAACCAAAATGATGAACATTCATCTTGACTGCCATAAAAATTCAAGTCATAATTTTATTCCTCTAAAAGGGTTAAGAATTTAATAATAATAATAATAATAATAATAATAATAATAATAGAAAAATAAATAAACTAGCACGGGAATTCATACAATCCAGTTGGCATAAACAGGCTCTTTTGATAATTTTCCAGGCAATCTGCTCAATTTTAAAGAAGCTAGATCTCTCTCAAAATATAAAACCAAATATCCCTTGAACTAAAATGTTTGTTTATTCTTTGCATTCATAATTCATATTTCATAATTCACCATATTAAAATGGGTTTCAAACACTTGAGCAGCTCAGTGGTTTAAGGGATAGAAAAAATTGATAGAAATAGCAGAATACTCAAACCATAGAGATCTTCCACTTTAGATAAATACAGGAATCACCATCAAAATCATCAGAATTAGCATGAAGCTCCACAGGTTTGTCAGATTGTCAAGAGTTTGAAGAGAAGGTAGACACGTCATTTGTAAAAGGAAGGGAGGATACAAAACAAAAATCTTATCTTGGTTCAAATAAAATGTTTCAACTAGTAATAAAGGCTTCAACCATTGAAGTAGAAGATGATATAAAAGCAGAAATATTTCAAGCACAATGTGATTCATTTGAAAATTATAATGGAGTGCTGTAAAGACTTTCACTTCTTTAAGCATTGAAAAAGAAAACTGTTCATCAACTTATTGCTAATTAATAAAATTTTTTCATCTGTAAAATAAATACCTAAAATAAGGCTAAACGATACAGTTTGAAATGCTTCTCATGACTTTCTTTCATAAAATAAGATTATAAAACAAACCTAATCGAGTAAATGAATCAACATAACTGCTTCAGAATAGAGAAAGACAAGTAGAATAAAATAGAACTGAATTAGCTGAATTTTCATCCTTGAAAGTATCTTATGTTAGTGAATAAATTTTATCAAAACACGGTAACGAATTTTATTAGCATGAGTTTCTTATTTAGGCTTCGACTATCAAATGATTAAAAAATAAATAAATATAAGTGAATATTTAAGTGAATGCCAATACAAGCATTTCATCTGCTTCTGCTAAATTAAATGCAAGAAGAAAAAACATTGAATTATCAAAATATTCATTAAGAATGTAAAATATAAAAATAAATATTCACCAAAAAAGTTTCTAAAATCCAGTAACTCCGTGAACCAATTTTTGCATCCAAAATAAAAAACTCAAACTCTACCAAATCAGGGGATTTCAAACCTTAAACTGTCAAACTAGTGCTTTAAACACATATTTTGATAGCATCACAAAAGTATTACAAAAAATAAATAATAAAAATAGGCATTTTATTTTAAAATTACAAATGTTGTCCACATGGAACTTACACAACACACTCATACAATGAAAAACTAGTTATGCAGCCATAATAACTAGTCAACAGCGGCTAGTTAAAATAAATTATTGCCAGTATAAAATATAAATCAAAACATACTTAACCTTAAAAAATAAGTTGCAGTTTAGAATATTACCAATCCGGCGCTACTTATTGTTGCCAATGAGAACTTGTGATTAAAATTATAATCCTTCGTCAAAAGATCTGCAAGGAGAAATAGACAATGTTTCAAAATGTGAATTATTGTGATTAACATAAATTAATTTTGTCTCAATTGAATAGGAATAATATAAGAAAAAATACTAAAATCCGGAAGCAATATTTCAGTTTGAGTGAAGAGACTTCCATCTATAGGCTATAAAATTTCTAGCAATCAAGAATAGCTTCACAAAATCTGGACTTTAAAATCTATCATATTTTAGGACTCGGATAAATCATACTGCATTGAGTGTTTAGACTGAACATGTATCAAGAACAATTATCAATAAAATATATAGTAAATTCCATGACATGCAGGATTAGGAGACAAACTAACAAATCAAGGTAAAAAATATAACAGACGTAGTAGTAACTTTATAAAGGTAGATTGGAACAATAAATATTAAAGCAAAAAATAACAATTAAAGCCCTAGAGCCTAAATTCAATGATGTGAATGCCATGTTACGAGCCACATTTTCAAATAAAATGCAAAATATAATAAATTTAATCACAAGTTCTCATTGTAACTGTAAGGAGAAATAGACAATGTTTCAAAATGTGAATTATTGTGATTAACATAAATTAATTTTATCTCAATTGAATAGGAATAATATAAGAAAAAATACTAAAATCCGGAAGCAATATTTCAGTTTGAGTGAAGAGACTTCCATCTATAGGCTATAAAATTTCTAGCAATCAAGAATAGCTTCACAAAATCTGGACTTTAAAATCTATCATATTTTAGGACTCGGATAAATCATACTGCATTGAGTGTTTAGACTGAACATGTATCAAGAACAATTATCAATAAAATATATAGTAAATTCCATGACATGCAGGATTAGGAGACAAACTAACAAATCAAGGTAAAAAATATAACAGACGTAGTAGTAACTTTATAAAGGTAGATTGGAACAATAAATATTAAAGCAAAAAATAACAATTAAAGCCCTAGAGCCTAAATTCAATGATGTGCATGCCATGTTACGAGCCACATTTTCAAATAAAATGCAAAATATAATAAATTTAAAATAAGCCAAAGCTAAAGCATATTTTTCATAGCTCAAATAAAAACTTGATTCAAACCAAAATGCTAAATCATTCACATGAAGATCATATGAAACAAATGGAAATTGTCAAATGCACACAAAAAGTTATTTATTAATTTAGTTATGCTCATTATCTTGTTTTGTAAAATGCTCATTTTTAATAAATTATAACACGCACACCCACGCACACACACAACCATACAAAATAGATGATATGAGTAACAATAATTGGATATTGTCCTGCATGATGAAAGAAGGAAATAAATCCAAAAAAAGTGTGTCAACTGTGTGTGGCGACTTTATTCCCAAGGTACAATCCTCAACCAAACAAAATTGATCCAAAATTATCTCATATGCCGAAATTATGATACAAGAATTAAATTTGTCCATGATGAATCATTTCAGATCAATTTTGTCTAGTCAAGGGAATAAATTGGATAAATGCGATGCTCTTGGACTAAATTTATCATGTACAAATAGCCGGGAGATAATTTTGGAGTTTAGCCCAAAAGAATTAAGCATCTTGGATCAATTATAAAAAAGAACAGGGAAACATATGAGTATATACCTTCTAGAGTTAAGAATAGGGCTTAGAGATGGTAAAGAAAATGCTTAAAGATAAATTTTATAAAACAATAATTAAGTTGTTAAAGATATAAATTATAGAGACATTATACTAGAATAAAAATTAGAGTGACACATATTAAAGTTATAATGTTTGAAATAAATTTAGAAGGTTTGGGCATGTGCAACAAATAGAAATAAATAACCTCATTAGAAGTGATAAATTTAGTATAAGTTTAGTGCAGAAGGTTAGAAAAGAAAAGGTGAGCCCAATATCAAAAAAAAAAACAAAAAAGTTGTTTTAAATTATTTGTGAAAAATAAGTGTGATATCTCTAACAACTATCGATGAAAACAAATAAAAAAAAAGGACTCATAAAGTCAACTACACAGAGTTTGGATAAGGTCAATGGTGATCATGATGATCGAGCACATACAGAGATACTAGAAAGAAAAAGGTGTTCCTATTTGAATGAATCATCTTGAACAGCATCATACATTAGGGTTTTTTCTCGCTCACTTTAGCATCTAAGGCTATTAAGATGCAAAAATGTTATTAAATATGATATATATATATATATATATAACACATCATATCTTAAAAGTCAATGAAGGAAAAGGGTATGCATCCAAATACACAAATATGACTTATTACAACAGTCATACACAAAATTCAAAAAATTGTTTGAGTATCACTCAAAGGTCCTCGACTTGAAGCACATAAAAAAAAGAATCGAGGCTTACACCTCATTTCCACCAGTGAGGCTTATGCCTTTTTTTTGGTTGAGACATAGGCCTCAAGGCATTATGCTTCAAGGGGGTTGAGACAACACCGCAATGAAGTTGGATAAAAGAATTATTATATTACATTATATTATATTATATTATATTATACTATATTATATTATATTACATCATACTTATATACCTAATATAAACCTACTACAACAGCTAAATATTAAGATTGTGAAGAATATAATCAAAGTTGAGAGAATGAGTGATCTTCTTCGTATGAGTGCAAGAGACGAAAGAGGAAAATCAAGAGCCTTTGTTTAGGCAAAAGAGCAAGAGATCTTCGAGAATTTTACGCTTTATTCTTCATTTTATGAGCTTTTCATTTTTCCATTTTGATGCTTACGCTAGCTTCACCAAGGCAAAATGTCTTAGCTAATAATTTCATCTTTTAAATCTTTTTCAAATTCAATTCAAAGAAAAACATTTATAAAAATCGAGGATGTAATATGCTCTAAAAGCAAGAGGTAATAATAAAATATATATATATATATATATATAATATTAGTAATGGCATACGATATAAATATAATTGGAACAAGAATATGGCATACTTGTTTTCATATATTATACAAACCTAACAGCATAATCCATATGTTGGAAATTGATTATACGATAGATCATTGATATATAAAAAAAAAATGCTAAAGGGGATCGTAGATGACAAAGAGATCAAGGACAACTATTAGATGGTTGATAGGATCATAAATAATGGAACGTCAAAAATGATTTCTATGATTTAAATACATAGACATAAATGTACAGTGAAAAATTGCTAAATGTTGTTAAGTGAATAATCAAACTAGCGGAGGTCTAAAGAAACAAATAGAGATAATGTGAAGCAAACAAGCTTTTGTTGATGGCCACTAATGGCTAGTAGCTAGGAATATAACAATGGACTTGACTAAGAATTTAACTTAATCATAAAAAAATCATATAAATGATATTAGCATGGTTCAAAAAAATGTGCATCTCAATTATACAAAGATTATAATGATCCTATCCTTTGCAGCATTTTTTCTTCAGTAAAGAGATGGAGGGTGCTCGATTTCACATATCTAAAAAATTTTACACAAGCATCTTTAGTTTTTGTGAATTTCAAGCAAGGACAAAAACCTATATGTGTGCTACCTACATTATTATTAAACTTCGAATAGAGCATCCATAAGGGGGCTCGAATCAAATAATCAAGTATTTAAAACCATATATACAGTGATTCTCATTTCAATTTCGCATATTTAAATCTTTTATTTTGCAGCACAAAAACAGCTCAATGTTCTAGAAAATAAAATTTGAACTTCACATTTCATTGTAAAACACCAAAAAAAATGAACCATCTATGGTAAAATTATTCCAAATGTAAAATAATGCAACTCATCGTATTAAGAGTTCACGACTCCTCACTAAAAGTAAGTGGAATTTACATACATAGCACACAATTCTTTATGTATTTACATATCTCACATATAAAATTCATATTTCCACACAGAGCACTCAAATCTTTAATATGACATCAAAAATAGCAATGTTGCCTTTTTTCTTAAAATAAAATAGACCTTTTCATGCATATGTTTAAAGCACCTAAGTGCTATGTATGTAAATTGGAAAGTTTAGGTGTGAGATATGTAAATACATAGCAATTGTGTACTACGTATGTAAATTTCCCTAATAATTGAATGCACACAAGTACGATGAATTTACATGTGATATGCCTATTTTGATTTAGAAAGCACCAGAAATGGTTCACTAAATCCAATTACATCTACTTAAGGATCGGCTGATAACCACAACAAAAGATCTAACAAATATGAGAACCTGCCTCTTGCTTTTTTTCCAATATCAGAGAATGGAGCTGGAGCACTGCCCATCTCTACATAAAATATGAATAGCTTCCTGACTGCAAAAACCAAGCATGATATTAGGAAAAATACCTCTACAGTTATACAAGATTAACCGAAACTGCTGAAGGCGATTGCAAATAATAAATATTTGAAACAAAAACCTTAAGTAAAAACATTCACAGATTATACAATTCAGAATATTGCCTATGCTTTAAAAATCCGGGGCAGATTGTCCTCAGTTCCACAAATTCAAGTTTAAGCACAAAAACAAAAAGCAGCAGCCTCTACAATACGAAAAAATATTAAAAAATATTACCTCACGAAAAAATATTACCTCAGGAGTACTGATGCATCATCAGTACTCCTGAGGTAATATTTTTTCCCACAATACAGACAGAGGATTCAATTCTATAGATAGTCAAACAGCTCAAAACCATCTTCTAACTTCTCATTTAACGAACAACTTCCAGGAATATATGCTGAAGAACTACAGCAAACCATCAGCGTTGATCAATGCCTGAAGTCAGCACATAAGAAAAACCGATAACCAGATTGAACTCCTTCGATAAAACAAGAATCATATCAGCTTATAACAAATTCGACACAAACAAATTGACTCAACTCCGTTACTGAACGAATCCAGGAATAGAGAAACGGTTTGAAATTTGATTTGTTAACGGACTCGCCCGACGAAATCCCAGAAAGAGAGATAGAGAGAGAGCGCATACGTTGGCCAGTAGAGGAGGCTCGGGTAGGAGCGACGTCCCGAGCCGGCCGCAAAAACCCTAGCGTGCTGTAGCGCGAGGGTTTTTCATTTCTGCGGCGCGGAGGAGAGCAGCGCGTTTTATTTTCCTTGTGTTCTTTGCTCTACTTAAAACACAGGCTTGTGGATCATCTACGAATATGGGCCGGGTATTTGGCAAAGGACTTTTTCCATAAATACCACCCATTTTTAATGTATTTACATATCTGTCATTTAAATCTTATCTTTTAAATTTATAACAACCAAAACTTTGATATCATAACAAAAATACTGTCTTTTAACTTATAAATTCATTTTTTGGCTCTTATAATTCATCAAATAGTAAGTTAAGTTCTGAGAATAACATGATCGAAATTTGTGGTCAAATTATACAATTAAATGAAAAGAAAATGTAAAAAATTAAATAAATAAAAGGTTACACATAATTTTATTTTAATTTTTATAACACCATATTCAGCATGAGAAAACATTACATCAGGACTCTTAACGTAATTTGCATTCGGAGCCAATGGTGGGACGTCATGTGTCAAGTAAGTCTCACAACAATACACTAGGATTGACCAATATTAAAAACGGTAAAGCTCATTTGACGCTATTGACCAATATTAAAAACGGTAAAGCTCATTTGACACGTGACGCTCCACCATTAGACTCCAAATATATCCGGAGTCCTTATGTAGCATCTTTTATGTTCAGCACATTGGTTGTAAAGATGGCAATAAATATGAAAGTATCGATTAAATTATTGTCCACCGAGGAGGCCATTATATGCCAAAAATCAACAAAGCCTAATAATTTGGTTTAAATGGATAAATGAATATACGAACTAAGCAAAATTGTAAGATGACTTTTATGTCAACATTATAATAAATATTCTACTAAAACATGACTTTAAGCACTTACATTTAAGTTAACCAAAGCATCATAATTTTCTTTTTATGCAATTCACACGACAAAACTTTAATATTACATAGCACATATTTTTGATATATTTAGATATCTCACACCTAAAATTTCATTTTTACACATATAGCCATCAAATCTTTAATATCACACCAAAGGGTTATACATATAAATATGAAAGTTTAGGCACGAGATATATCAAATGCATAAGAATTATGTGTTAGGCATGTAAGCTTCCCTATTAAAAGTAATTGCACATGCATCCAAAATTTTACATTTGAATAAATTTTACTTATTTTTATTTTAACCTCATAGCTAGCTCGTATATAGTTGACTTACTGGAGGGTAATATTGTAATATGAGGATTATAATGTAGTAATTATGAAGAGAAGTGGCTCCCTCAAGAAATGAAGAAGAACATTTAAATAAGGAGAGCTTCAATCCCATATTCCTGACATCATCAAATTGGTCAGCAGACAATTAGAAATCCATCACCTTAAAATGTTATCACAAAGTAGAGCCAACTTATAGAATAAAAAAGAGGGAAAAAGATGATACAAACAATTACATCAAAGCAACTATCCAGAAACTGATGCTCGGTAAAGAGTTTAGAACCAATAATAGAAGTTCTACAAGGAAACAGCAACTATCCATTACACCTAGCTGCTGCTGCTGCTGCTGCTGCTGCCTGGCTATACATGAGGAAAAAATAATTGAGATACAGATGACAAGAAGGGCAGGAAACTACTGATTATGGTGTTCATGTTTCACTCGAGCTTTTAAAATTCCAGGAATGGGCGGCGAAGCGGGCAATTTACTCCTCGGGCTCGGCCATTGGAGCAGAGGTGGCTGCTGAGTTTGATGTACGCCCTGGTTGCTCGAGCACTCGCCGCCGTTCAAGGTGGGTTCGTGTGTGCCGCCGCCGCCGCCATCCTGCTGTTCTCTTTCGCAGAATCTCATTGCCTTCAACACATAAGTGTCGTCGTGCAGTTCAAAGGGTGTGCTGTACGATTAAGTTATAGATGACACAAGAAATCTGATTAGAACAGGGTAAAAAAAAATGAACCAAAGTGCTGTCTGTAAATAAGAAAGTTTAGGTGTGAGATATGTAAATACAGAAGAATTGTTTGCTCAAATGGCTTCAAGTAGAATGTTTTTCAGAAACAAAAAAAGTAATGTTTTTCAGAAACAAAAAAAGGCATTGGTGATGGATGTGATCTCAAAGTAGTAAGTAATTCAGATCGATGGAAAGTAGCTGGTTCTTAATGAATTGAAGAAGTCTTAAACAAGGACTCAAAATGATTCTACAAATTCCTGAACTAAAAAGGGGTTGGAAAAATTGTACCAGGAAGTGACATAGGGCTCGCGGACACGGGGCTCCATGGGTAACTGAAGTGAACGGCTCAGCAGGGAGTCTGCCGCCCAAGCTATGGAGCGGGACTCCGCCCTCCCCTTCCCCCTTCCTTTTTACTCCTACCTCCCCTATTTCCATTTTTTTTTTCCCGTTCTTATTCTCCTCCTTACTATTCTATTACTAATCCCCATTATGTGTGTGTGTGTTGTTTGCTTAGGTTAGGGGAGTTTTTGATTGTTTCTGAGTTCAGAATTCTGCCTCCTCAGGCGTTTACACTTTCTGAGGGCTGTAACCAACGAGTATAAACTGCTTCAGCTATAACTCATCCAAGGTGGTAACTATCTCCATTGTTCCTTCGCCTTCCTGCTGTCACCAATTACCTCCTCGGTCGTTACCTACTACCAGCCCCCTTGGTCGCCACCACTCCGGCCACATCCCGCACCTCAACATTGCTGCTTCCTTCTGGGCATCTTACGCTCCTTCTGGGCAGCTGCCACCATTGCTGCTTCCTCCAGGCCCCTTCCGGCAGCTCGCCAGCCACTTCCAGTGCCAATTCTGCTGCCGCCATCGACCTCCAGCGCCTCCCAGTTGTCGCCGGCTCCTTCATGCACTTCCCAGCAAGCCGCGACCTTTCCTGCACTCTCCAGCACGCCTCGAGTCACCTCCAGCACCCACCAGCAGCTCACGAGCACCTACAACTTCAATCTAGGCACCTTCCGGCAGCCACCCGCACTTAATGACCCTCCAAAGTCGCAGCCCCAGCTGCCCTGCTCCTTCTAACAGCCACTCACACGTGCTGCTCCATCCGCTTACAACCACGGGTCGCACCCACCTCACAGCCGATATCCTCGGATATTCTTCTTAGGTCATAGTCGGATCTTGCTAGTCTTGTTTTCATTGATTGTTACAGTTTTGATTGTACCACTAGTTGTGTGTTCAATAATATTTGTCTCCAACGTCGTGGGATCAGCTAACTCCGCTATCATTTGGTATCAAAGCTAGACTAACCCTGATGTTATCCTAAGGTTCCCTAGAGTCCGTCGTTTTCTTTTTCTTTTTTTTGTTTCCCTTTCTTTCTTTTTTGTTCTTTTCTTTTTCTTTTTCTTTTTTTCATTTTTTCTTCCTTCATAGAACCCAAACCTTCAACCATGCTCCCGAGAAGATACCTACCGGACCCCACCTGAGAAGAAATACAACGGAAGATCCACCGTCTGCAACAAAGATTATAGCAAAGATGGGTAATGGGAACCAAGTAGAGAATACCCTCGACCGCGACATTGAGTCAAAGAGGAGACAGATGAAGATTTTAATATGTTCTACAGAGAAGAAATCATCTACAAAGAATACCGACTATTTAGCTTCAAAATTCAATATCATAAGAGGTTGAGACAAGAGCCCGCATATAGGAGACACGGAGGCATTGACATCAAAGTGGATCTGGCAGAATTTGAGGCAAACATGGATCCGGATGACTATGTAGACCGTCTACAATCGAAGGAGCGAATCTACGAATATAATGCACGCTAGAGATTAAAGGGGTAGAATTGACTACCATCAAGTTGAAAAAGAGCATCTTCCTGCGGTGAGAGGACTTGCAAAGATAGAGGAAAAGAAGAGGTTGTCATACAATTTCCAAGTGGGAGAAGATGAGGAAAGAACTACAAAATAAATATCTACCACCTCATTGTCACCAAGTCATGTTTATGAGACTTCATCACTTGCAGCAATGAGATCTTTCAGTGGAGGAATTCACAATGCATTTCGATCAGTGGAGGCTATAGCTACAGCGAACTGAGAAATAACAGGCAGGATCAGAGTGGGAAGAAACAGGAGAAAAGTTGCACTTCTAATACAATACCAACCAGGAAGGCTAAGATCACATAGCCTCCAACTATCTCACGAGCCGAGTAATCATATTCACAGATCAGGGTGCCATCAATGGGGTGGACAAGGAATCAGAGGATAGCTTGGAGGAGGAGCTTCAGCTCTTGGGGGGGTGGGAGGGACCCGGGGGAATTGCTAGTTATACGGAGGGTTTTGCAAGTCAAAGCCGCAACGAGATCAATTCTGATTGAGACAACATCATTTGCACTAAGTGCAAAGTAAAGGGCAAGGTTTACAATTTAATCAACGACAGTGGGAGTTGTGAAACTCTGGTGTCGACACTGATGGTGAGAAATTAAGATTGACGACACATAAACATCCTCAGTCCTATTCCCTAACCTGATTGAAGAAAGGAAACGAGATATACGTGGATCTGTGCCTAGTAGAATTCTCCATTGGGAGTCTGCTACAGGAATAAGTATATGTGATGTTGTTCCAATGGATGCATGCCACAGTATGTTGGGTAGGCATTGGCAGTTCAACCGCAAGACTCATCACGTAAACTTCAAAAACATTTATTCATTTAAGAATAATGAAAAACGTGTTGTATTATTATATGTTAGTTCCATGGGCCACCTTCCTGCATTCAATTCGAGATGCCCCAGCGGCGTTGGCATTAGTCCTTCTAGAAGAAGCTAAAGAGGAGAGTGAGATACTAGCGCTACTACAGCCACTGCTACAAGATTTCTAGGATGTGATGACCGACAACCTTTGAGCGGGATTACTACTGCTTAGAGACATTCAACACGCCATAGATCTCATACCAGGATTAGTGTTGTCAAATTGACGAGCCTACAGAAAGTGACCTACAGAGTACGAGGAGTTACAGCGACAGGCGTGAGATCTCATTGTAAGGGGGCTAACCAATTCCGTGTTGTTCCTTTCTTGATGGTACTCAAGAAGGAAGAGTTATGGCGGATGTGCATTGACAGAAAGGACATCAACAAAATTACCATCAAGTACTGGTTTCTCATATCCCGCCCGGATGGTCTCTTGGACTCGTTACATGGAGCCACCCTTTTCTACAAGAAAGAATTACACAGCGGGTAACATCAGATACAGATGAAACAGGGAGACAAGTGGAAGACCACTTTTAAGACATGAGATGGTCTATACAAGTGGACATTTATGCCTTTCGGTTTGTCAAATGCACTCAACACTTTTATGAGGTTGATGAATCGGGTATTCAAAAATCACATTGAAAAATTTGTGGTGGTGTACTTCGAAAGGAGAAACACTTACAACATCTGTGGGTGGTATTAAAGGTATTGCGAGCAAAGCAACTCCATGCCAATCCAAAGAAGTGTCACTTCATGACAAACCAGCCTTGCATTATGAGTTATATTGTGTATAGTGCAGACATTCAGATGAATCCTACAAAGATTCATGTCACTGTCAGCTGGACCGCACCGCAGTCGTTCACCGAGCTGAGGCAGTTTCTGGGGCTAGACTCATACAGAATATTCATCAGAAACTTCAGCACTCTCACAGCCTCTAACAAAGCTTTTAAAAGAAAAGGAGTTTACTTGGATAGCTACAGCTCAGACCAACTTCAACACATTGAAGGAGAATGTGACTCAAGCATCAGTTCTAACACTATCAAATTTCAACTAGTTGTCTGAGGTAAAGTGTGATGCATCTGGCGTGGGCTTAGGAGAAGTACTGAGTCAAGCAAGCCACCCCATTGCTTTTTTTTAGTTAAAAGTTGAATGACCCCCGGAGGAAAAACTCGACCTATGACAACGAGTTTTATGTCATTGTTGGAGCCCTTGAGCACTGAAACCATTACTTGATGACAAGCGAGTTCACATTGTTCATGGATCACGAAGACTAGTTCGCCACTTGGGTGGAATTCTTAGCATCATTCTAGTTCGTGCTTAAGCATAAGGCCAGGAGCCAGAACAGAGTAACAGATGCACTGAGTCGTCGTCACCTGTTGATCACGTCGATGCAAACTCAATTTGTGAGCTTCGATATTGTAAATAGCTTATACGAAACAGACAGAGACTTTGAGGAGATCTAGGAGCAATGTCAGAAGAAGCATGCTAAGCAGTACTACAGAGTCGATGGGTACTTGTTCTATCCGACTAAGTTGTGTATTCCTAGATGCTAATTGAAAGAGGCAATTATTCAAAAGAGCCACAATGGAGGACTAACTGGACATTTTGGCAGGGATAAAAATCTTGCAGCGGTGAGAGAGCACTTCTTTTGGCCCCGGTGGCAAAAGCTAGGGGCCAGAATGCCAGGTTGTACATCCCCTTACCAATATCAGAGCTACCATTTGTGGATGTTAGCATGAACTTCGCGGTGAGACTTCCAAGGACACAGTGGAATAAGAATTCAATCATGGTCATCTTGGATCAATTCTTAAAGATGGCACATTTCATACCATGTCTCGCATATCGCTGAATTTTATTTTAGAGATAGGATACCCAAGCCTATCACATCATGCAGGAATGTCAAGTCTCTGAGTCACTTGTGGAGGACTCTGTAGGAAAAATTAGACATTAAATTTTAATTTGGCTCAGCAACGCACCTTCAAACCGACGACCAAATGGAGGTAGTAAACAAGAGCCTTGAGAATCTTCTGAGATGCTTCGTGACAAAAACCATCAAACAATGGGATCAAATTCCATCTCAAGCCTAGTTTGCACACAACCGATCCGTGAGTCAGACTACGGGTCAAACTCGATTTGAGATTGTCTACAGGCGCAATAAGCCCACACCTCTTGAGTTGGTACCACTCATGTCGATATCACAGATTA